ATTGAATGACGTAGAGGTTGCGTGGTGTCAGAGGTAAAATTAGCTGCGAAAATGGCTGTCAAAGCTTTGGGTGACTTTCAAACTTCCAAAGCTTGAGAATCCTTGGAAACTGCAAATTTTCATTCATTTTTTTGGGTGTCTTTGATCAACATTTATTTTGTCACGACATCAAAGACCGTGTATACACGGTCTTTGACGACATGGTGGATTCAAGCGCTTGTCAATTTTTGGACATGTGGAAGCCTGTACATTTGTCTCACTTTTGGTGAAAAAAATTACCCATTTATCTTAAATAGAGGTTGAGATTTCTGGTTGAAGGAGGTTGGAGGGGGGGGGGGGGGGACTGGTTTCCGGGGTAAAATTAATGAGAAAATGGCCGCCGAAGTTTTACGACTTCCATAGCTTGAGAGTCCTTGGAAACTGAAATTGTACATTTTTTGTCCCTCTAATCAATGTTCCTCAGCAAAATTTGCACTGAAATGTGTTTTTAACATGGACAAAAAAGTTGTTAAACAAAAAACCCAAAATTAATACAAATGTTCAAACTGGTGGAAAAATGCCAGTTTCTTTGATTTAATTATTTTGACAAGCACCTGATTTCACCAAGGTGCCTCACATTTTTAAGTGAAACCATACACGGATGTGTGTTTATAAGTAGGCTTGAAAGATGGTAGCCTAAGTCCCCCCCCCAAAAAAAATGTAATAGAAAAAAAAAATTGTGGTGGAAAAAATGTCACAATCTTATGCTCTGGTATTGTTGTATACCACTTTCCTGGTTCATTTTCATGCATTCTGTGTGTATGAATTTTGACTTAATTTCCATCGCAAATCATTGGTTTTTGAGACATTTAATGTGTCAAAGGACTTTATTAAATTTTGCACTGCCTTGCATTTTGTACATTTTTAACAATCTGGGAGGAATTGAGGAATTGAGGGGGGGGGGGGAGCATGTCCTCAAGGGGTGAAAAAATCTGGGCCTCCCACTAATTGGATGTTTTGCTTTTTAAAGTTTGAAATTTCTTGAAAGCAATCCATTTTTGATGGTTTTAGTGGCCATGATGTGTGTTCTAGTCTTTAATACAGAGTCTTGTTCCCGTAAACAGTGCCTGTGCTGGTGGGAGTGAACGTAATAATTACCATGCTATTTGAACAAAGTGTCCAAGTTTTGATTTTTAATAAAATTATCTTAGGAGAAAATCAGCCTTAAATGGCTTTTATCATGTTGATGTGACTTTCTTAACTCAAAAGCTCTCTATCTCTCTCTGATGACGTCTGTGGCCTAGTAGTTATGTAGGCTACTGCATGGGCCCTTAATTGTGGGATTGTGGGTTCGGGGGTTCAAGCCTGAGCTACGTCCGATGTTGTGTCCTTGGGAAAGGCACTTTACACAAATTTCCGAAATTATTTCCCATTTAGCTCGGTCCTTTCGGAAGTTAAACTCGGAGGTCCTGCCTCTTAAATAACCTAACAGTGTTGGTAGGGGCGTTAATATTCTCTCTCTCTCTCTCTCTCTCTCTCTCTCTCTCTCTCTCTCTCTCTCTCTCTCTCTCTCTCTCTCTCTCTCTCTCTTTCTCTCTCTCTCTCTCTCTCTCTCTCTCTCTCTCTCTCTCTCTCTCTCCCTCCCCCTCTCTCTCTCTCTCTCTCTCTCTCTCCCTCCCTCCCCCCTCTCTCTCTCTCTCTCTCTCTCTCTCTCTCTCTCTCTCTCTCTCTCTCTCTCTCTCTCTCTCTGTCTCCCCCCCCCATGACTTCCTTCTCTTTTTCCTCTGACTCCATGTTTGTGTGTGTTGTGTTTGTCTGCCTGTCTTGTTTTTCTCAGTACTAAACGGATCTTATAAGTAGATAGGAAAATAGATTTAGAGCGAATCCCTCAGAAACAGAGAATTTCTTAATATTTTTTTTATATTGAAGGAACTTGCAATGCTTAGAATAAAGAGGGGGGAAAACCAAAAGGATTTGAAATCCTTTGAAGGTGACAGGAATTTAGTGTTAAACAAAGTCTACAGTATGTGTGTGGGTACATGATATAACTATCCGCCTGTTTTCTTTATTTCCAGCCATGCACACCCATGGCTTACATGGATATGCAGACATATTTGCACGTAGTCATGCACACATTTTAGACGTTTTTCTTTTCCATTTCACTCAGATATATTCAACTCATAGACACAACACATTCCAATTCGAGATTTGCATTCCAGGATATGGTAATTTTGATGCGGGGATGCAGATTTTGTTCTGTCTTTATTCTATTCTAAGAAGCCTTAGTCAAAGATAAAAATTCTTATTGTCTTAATGAATTAAACCAAAATCAACCCCTAAGCTGAGAGAAAATCTTGTCTAGCATGATTATTATAATTCAATACATATTTCACAGGTCCTTAAATGGTCGCTTTTAAGCACAAGGGGGCTATCCCGAAAAATGCTGTTTTGAGAAAATCAGAGGTAAAGTTTTGGATCCTTGTTCACTTTCTTTAAAAAACAAGTAGTTTTCTCTATAACCAAACAAATATACACAGCAATGAAACCAAACTTCTCCTATAGGTAGGACCCACTATACCACAGAATTCTAGAATATATTGACTTTTGGTGTAGGTCACGATTTCTGGAAATCCCCGAAATCTGGGTTAGTCCGCTTGTCCTTAAAAGCGACCAAATAATCTGCCTGTTGGCGAATGTGAAAAATGTAGAAATAACCTAGGCCTAGATATCTTCTGTTTTTTGTTGTTTTATTTTTTTGTTCCTTTGTGCATCAAATTTTTTATGTGGACTATTTTTTGTCCGTGGTTGTTTGCAGGATGCCACTAGAAGTTTGTACACTATTTTATACATTTTGTCTGTTAAGTTTGTCAGTTCGTCATGCCTTTTTTCCAACCACTAACTTGCCAATATTACAAGAATGTGCTTTTCTCTCTTACTGGGTTGTCAAACCAGAGCTCATGTACATGTATTGTATGGACATAATTTTCCTTTTTTTCATGAATTTAGAAATGAAACTTTTGATAATACTTAATCCTGCATGCTTATGTATTTTCAATAATATAGCGTTTGTCAGGGTAAAAGATTGCATGTTATAGCCTTGTATGATGATACTAATGTGTGCCTTGTCTGTATTTTTCTCTTTCACAGATCTGTCAGTTCCTGAAGGACCGTGGAAGCAGTAGCGATGGCGAATCGTCCAGTTGCAGCTGTAGATGTACCAAAGGTGGAGAAGCTGAGAGAATTTTTCATGCGTTTTGAAGAAGGCAGGTTGTATCATATGGGTTTGATATACCAAACCTGTCCTTTGGATTTCAGATGAGAGAGAATACTGTCCTATTTGCTGTTGACTTGGCAGGGAAGAGGCAGACGTATAAGTTTCATATACAAGGGAGGGATGGTTGTACCTGTGTGGAATTAGGAGAGGCATGGTACAAGGAGTTTTTGGGTCGATTAGGGTGAAGAGTGGATGTCTGGTTCGGGGTCGAACGAGTTTTAAAGGTATATGATCTACTGATGTATTGGAGGCCAACATCCGAGTCCAGTCAAGAGGATACAGGGTTTGAAGGAAGGGAAATTGGTGCAAAGAGGGTGGGATCTGGTGGAGGAGAGCCAGTTGGAAAGAGGAGGAGATTGGAAGAAAGGACAGTAGAATTTTCAGCGAGTAAGGCCACAACCATATTAACGCCCGACACGGACGGTCAGACCAGACCGTCTTCGGGCACAAAAGAATGCGCACTGGCTCTATAGTAATGAAAGGTAACAGAAACGGTTTCGGCTACCATACTGACGCCCGACATCCTGCGTCGTCTCCGGTCAGACCGTCTCCGATAAAACATGTTCTATTGAAGACGGTCCGTCGGGC